TGGATTGTTGCATCAATTTTTTTACATTGTTGCATGTATTGAAGCGTGTAGTATATGCGCTACGGGATGAGCATCCAATTATTTCTATTGGCACCCAATATATTTTTAAAATAAACACACCTAGCCTTCAGTGCACTGCAGCACACACAGTAGATAATTCACGTGTCGCCTTGCAGTGTGCTCGTAAAAAATATTTTAGGTGTGTTTAGTCTGTAGATACATGGTGAGGGCCCATAAAAAAAAATTATTGAATGTTGAGTCTATCCTTATTACAGATTGCTATGTACTACTGCCAAGCAAGTTTGTTGGGGATATAGGCAATGCTCATGCCATGCTAGCAATCTTATCGCTGGAGTCAAATTACAAGCGATGGGATTAGTGGAGAACAGTCACCTGCTCCCATGGCATCTATCCTCTCTTTACTGTGGCTAAAACAGTAACCTGTTGCTCAATCTCTGTTCCCTAATTGGCCAGCAAGGAAGAGACACTGAAGGAGCAGTTGAATGTTCTCTGCAGGCATGCTCTTGATTGTGTCTCAGTAGACCTGTTTCTGGTTTGTGTCCATGCAGAGTCAATTGTGTCACTGTGGATATGTTTCTGACTTGGCTATGGTTTGTGTGGCTGCCGTGAATATGTGATTTAGTAGTCTGAACTCTTGTTAGGTGCAGTTAGTCAACTAAAAAGATTTTTCCTGAAAAGATAAACCTAATAGAATGTAGATCATTTGATATGTGCAGGAGCATAAACAGTTGCTCTTAAGGCAATCCCACAATATATGTTTGAAAGAGTCAGGTACTCTACAGCCTCTAAAGCAATCTGAGGGGTAGTCTGGGAGAAAATCTGATGTGCACTCAGGGACTAAGTACTGAGTAGTTTGTAGTTATATTTAAAGGCTTGTTAAGTGACAGAGCATTCGGCAATCGCCCACCAGCAAAGTTTTGCCTAACTCTGCTAATATTGGCGAGTGTGAGGTGGAGATCAGTAATGAATAATCTGTGGTTGTGGTTCCTAGGGCATGTTTGTTTTCACAGATGTTTCCAAAAGTTACCCCTTTGGTCATATACGTTTTGTTTTTCCCCCGCATGGGCCGAATGAGAGGAAAATGCTTGATTCTCCCCGTCCACACTAAACAGTTTAGATGGAGAAATCCCTGTTGCCGAGCACAGCTTCTTTAATTGCCTGCTGTCCGGCAGCTGTAATTAAAAGGCCGGACAGCGGCTTCTTGACGTCCTATCCCGTCCTGCTCGTGCCTGCCGCCAGGCGGCTTTGAATGTAAACAGCCAGCGATGGCTGTTTACATACAAGCGTTCGGGCGTCTGTAGAGACGCCCGATCGCTTGTAATATGCGGTCGGGTGTCCGCCCCCCCCCCCACTCCGTCGCCGCAGCTGCTGGTGATCCCGGGTTCCGCTGTTCCTGGTGTGAGCCCTGGACCAGCACAGCAGCTCTGCGGCCGGAGATCAAACGGAGCTCAGTACACGATCTCCGTTTGATCTCCTCTTCTGAATGCAGGCAGTGATGTGTATTACATCACTGCCTGCATTCAGTGTCACTCTCCAGGTACAGAAACCGGAGAGAAGCTGGTGAAGATGGTCTCTGCTTCATCAGCTTCTCTGGGGGTCCCTAGGTGACATTAGGGGTCTTAAAGACCCCTGGTGTCTCCATAAAGAGGACCTGTCACTGCAAATTGGCTATCACATAGGGAGCTTATTTGCTCCCTATGTGATAGCAATAAAGTTCAGTGGAAAAAAAAAAAGGTTTAAAAAAATTTGTTACAAATTTTTTAAAAAAATCACATATCAAAGCAAAAAAAAATAAAAAATTAAAGTCCCCCGCCCCCACATGCACACGCAAACATGCGTCAAGCACGCCTACGTGCGGAAACGCCGATTACATCCATTGCGCCGCACATGTTACATATCGCCGCGAATGTCGGAATGAGAGCAATAATTTTAGGGTCATCAATCACTGATAACACTAAACTGATGAGCGGTAAAAGCTTTTAAAGCGTCAGCTATGGTCAATTTTGAGCATGGTAGTTTTTTGCTATTTATCGGGTGCGCACAATTTTAAAGCTTGGCATGCTTGGTGTCCATTTACCCGACGTGACCCCGTCTTTTATATTTTACCAAAAAATTGGGTAATAATAAATGTTTTATAACATAACGTAGGGAGAACAGGTTTTTTTTTCCAAAAACTTCGGTACTTTTTTTATTATACTGTAAAAAAACAAAACCCGTAGTGGTGATTAAATACCACCAAAAGAAAGCTCTATCTGTCCCCAAAAAAGTTCAAGCCAGGTATGGCCAGTTTAAGGCTTAGGCTAACTGGAAGATCAGAGTGACACAGTAATAACTATAAAGATGAAAGACTTCCAGTCCTCAAAGGGATTTTGGTTTAAATAATGTGTTTTGTTATTCTAGTTTTTTTGGATCCCCAAATAAATTGAAGGACATTGGAATATAATATACATTATATGTGTCATGGGATCTGGAGGGGAAAGATAAGGAAAGAATAAAGTGGTTTTGACAGTCAACTTACAGGCAGCAACCTCACCTTGTCAGGAGATTAGATGTTGTTTCCATTTATTTAACAAAGATTGTGCATTAGGTTTGGGTAGTTAACGTGGTATAGTAAGTCATATTAATTTGTGAGATTGATTCCAGTAAGTCATATTAATTTGTGAGATTGATTCCTATGTAAGGTAATCAGTTTGAAGCCCACTAGGGGGTATAAAAACACTTTTAACCAATGCTATATATCTCAGTTTAAAGCCATTTTGTTTACAAAAAAATAGAATATTCAACCAAACCACTTTGAAATTTCAAATATATAAACTGATTTACTGGCCAAAATATTGATAATTCAGTTCAGCTAGTCTTGTGATTCTTTGCCCCTCTGTTTCCCCATTAGACCTCTTTCCAAACACTTGCCATTACAGCTCTTAGTACATGAAAACATGATAGAACAAAAGCAATGTGCAAGGCAGTACAGCTTGATTGACTCTCAGTTATGAGACTCAGACTGATTTCTGTTAAGCAGGGGATTATGGGAACATGACAATGGTCGATTTTAGGCAGCTGTATTGCCAGTATTTGAAAATAAATTTAATTATAATTTAATAGCCACATAACTAGACAACAATGTTTACCCATCCATGGATACTTTACATGTTGACTCATATAGAACTGATTTAAATAAATAATCCTGCTTACAACATTTACCCCAGTAGCAATTACTATAGAAATTATCAAACATTTGCTGGAAAACTCAGTATGGCATTGTTTACACAGTATAACGTATCTTAAAGGTTTTTTAAAGCTTTCACTAAAATATTGGATAATGAAATTTCCATGGGTATTCAGAAATATAATAAAATATATCATATATTTGAGGTTGCTCTATAGGAAGCAATATTTTGTAACATACAGCTGTTTTCCTGTCCAGTTATGCTATGACAATATACATATGCCTATCAATTTGAAAAGAAAACTTGCACTAAAGTTAAACATTAACACCCAACACAGGAGGTACAACCACCTTTTGCTGTCGGTTTTTATTTTTCGGGGACAGGTTTTAACATTTAACTTTAGCACAGGTGAACCTCAATCATTTTTTTTTCTTACTGTATAACAGCTTGAATAAAACAATGGGCAACACGCCATAGATACAATACATGAATGTCCGATTATTTTCTGTGCACAAATGGGACATTTTAACACAAATCTGTGAAAGGTACATCAAGCAACTTTATGGAGGTTTATCCAAAACTCCAGCAGAAATGTCTGCACTAGGGAAAAAAACCACCCATGGGGAAAAAAGTTTGTAAATATAATCACCTTACCCTTACTAAATTTTGTGGAAAGAAGCATTGTGCATCTCATGAAATCTGGGTTACTGAGCATATTGTTGGAAGGATGTGGATGTCACCCCTTAAAGTACGGGAGCTTGGGATAAGGCAATTATATTAACTAACTTTTGTTACCCACATACATTATTTCTTTCTTCATTTTCAAGCATATTAGGATGGGGAAGAGGACCCATACTAAACAAGCAGACCTTGCATGGAGTGCAAAGTCTTCTTTACTGGCTTTCACTAGTTCCCCATTTTTAAGATGGGGAAGAGGGCCCATACTAAATAAGAGGACCTTGCTTGGAGTGCAGTCTCCTTTAGCGGCTTTCAAGTCACACATCTAGAATTAAATGTTCCAAAATCAAGAAACAAAAAAAATTATAAACAATATCAAGTCTCTATCATACCTTATATAACATATAACAAAGAAACAGATTTTACTAATTTTTTTTTTTTTAAATAATGATCAAGGATTTAATTCATCTTGTTTCAATATCATTACAGAAAATGTTATGGTACAGAGTTCTTCAATAATTCTTTGCTTCTTTATCTCCACATGAATGCTGGTACACTGTAATCTGTACAAGATCAGTTTTTGATTTTTTTTTTTCTGTACATTTTTTAAATGTATTGGTTAAAAAGGCTGTCAGCACTTAAGGAAGCAATTTTATTCAAATAAAAGGTATTCAGTTACTGCCCAATAGTACTGAGCGGAGTGATTGCCAGGACGTCCGTCCTCCTTGTTAAGAAGATGGGACTCTTCATCCAGGTGCAACCACTTTGCTTTTGGCACTGTGCACATCAACACGTTATACAAGATAAAGAACAAGCAGAGCTCTTTTGTGAAGCGGTTATGAAGCATACTGATAAGGGAAACAGCAGTGTCATCTAAGCTAGTATAAAGTAAGCAGACAGCCTTGTTTAAGAGCTTAAGTATTTGTACTTTAGGGATGAGAGAAACACAACTTTTGCAGGCATCTACTGCTGTCTACTAAAAGCTACTGCTATTAGACCTAGCATTTTAACACACAAAGCAATTGCAATGAAGGAAAAGTTGCCTTGATATAATCAGAATAAGGTTTTATATTTTTTTTTTTTGGAAAAAATGTTTTTTTTTCAGGATTTTTTTCCCCTCAAAGTCATTTTTCGAAATTTAGTTCAAGATGTTGACTACACTGATCAACTTTATCCAAATCATAAAAACTAACTGTGCCATTGCATATTACAGGATACAGTCAATGATATGTGGACATGCATCAAAGCTTCTCTCTTGCGGCTGTCATCATAGCCTTCCAATGACCATGACGTCCACCACCTCTCCCTTGTGAAGCTCCACATACTGCTCTGTCTTTGGAGGTAGCATCAACAGTCCATTGGCACTTCGCATACTCATGAGGCGACTGCTCATTTGATTACCTGCATGGAAAGACAATGACAGTGTAAATACATCAGAGTTACAGGTAATATTTTCACAGATAAAGTTATCAAAAATTTCACTTTTAAGTGAAAATCTAGACCAGGGGTGGGCAACCTCGGCACTCCAGCTCTGGGAGTCATGCCTGTGGGTCTCAGAGTCTTGTTCCAAAACAGCTGGAGTGCCGAGGTTGCCCGCCCCTGATCTAGACTAATACAAAAAACTCCCTTTTCTTTTAGTTGATTTTCCCCACATTAAAATATTTTAATTACTAGCATAATAAATTAAATCTATCCTTATTGATAACCAACCTTATATACAACTTCTCATTATCCCTTGCAGACAAAGTTGAGAGTAAATCTCGTCATAGATGGCTAGATTTTGAAATTGAAGTTTGTCGAGTCAGGTGGTGCCAAGAGGGCCACCCACGGCTTGCATTTTGGGCAATTCAGTGGGAATCAGAAGAAATTTGATCAATGTATGGCCAGGACAGTTTATTACAAGTTTATTACAATGTAAAGTGCTGTCAATCTAACAGGTACAAAGTAAAGAAGAGAAGGTGATAGAGGGATCTTCCAGGCGGAGCAGAGGTGAGATGCCTATCTCTGCTATGTGATGATGCTCATTGTTATTCCAAATAGCAGGCTTGAAACAAGGATCAGGAACAGAAATCTGCATACTTGCAGGTTCTAAATAGCGGTGTATAATGTGGCCGGGATGAAAAGCAGAAACATGACTACTAATTACAAATTCATGCATACTGAATATTTTCTGAATGGGGGTTTCACCCAAAAGACATAATATAATTTAACGGTGAAGTCTAACCCAACATTTACATTTGCTGTGCATGTTCATGAAATGCACTATGCGTATGTGCTTTGGCAACAGTATACATACACCACCATAGGAATCCATTTACCTGCCTGTGTTGATGCACGTTTGCTTCTATCTAATTAGCTGCACTTCTGTATATTGTCATATATGTTGAGATAAGAGTCTCATGTGTAATGTGTGGAATTAACTCTTAGTCCCACTGTTTAGGTAGTAAAAGCAACTTTAATATTTGTAATTGTACCATTAATGGGTTCATATTTACTGTATACTATTTTAGATACTACTGAGTCCTACTAAGTTAATACTTGGTACCCCTTTGAGCATTTTAATTGATTCAATATTTTATATATATATATATATATATACACATATATACACACACACACACACATATATATATAGTATCTCACACATCATAGTACACCCCTCACATTTTTGTAAATATTTTATTATATAATTTCATGTGACAACACAGAAGAAATGACACTTTGCTACAATGTAGAGTAGTGAGTGTACAGCTTGTATATCAGTGTACATTTGCCAGCGGTTTAGACATTAATGTGAGTTGAGTTATTTTGAGGGGACAGCAAATGTACACTGATATACAAACTGTACACACACTACTTTAGGCCCCATTCACAATAAGCGACACTTACCGCAAGCGGATTTCCACGCGGCTAGATAGCGCGACGGTTGGGGCGACGTTCACCGTCGGGCTGCATTAAAAAAAAAGGACATTTGTGCGACATCCGCGGGAAAAAGTGTCCTGCAGGCGCCACTTGCGACCGCGACATGGAGCTGTACATTAAGACAGCTCTATTGAAAATCATTGCACGGCGTCTTCTCGCGATATCACGCTGCAAAAATGCGCGATATCGTGGCGGAAATCGCTGGATTTTCCGCTCAGTGTGAATGGAGCCTTACATTGTAGCAAAGTGTAATTTCTTCTGTGTCGTCACATGAAATGATATAAAATATTTACAGAAATGTGAGGGGTGTACTCACTTCTGTGAGATACTGTATGTATACACTGAGTGGCCAGATTATTATGACCACCCCATCAGCACTTTGTTGGGCCACGAGATGACTTCGTTGGGCCGCCTCGTGACTCCACGAGATGTTGAAAGGTGACGCGAGGAATCTGACACTGCACTGTTACCCTTCTGTTGTCTTGTACCAATCTTGCCACTCTCCGTTCTGCCCTAACATCGACTAGTCGCTGACGGCCACAATTCAGCAGATTTTCGGCTGACAGTCCAGTCTTTAAACACTAACAATGAGCCCCTCTTGAACATTTAACGAATTCTGCTGTTTTGCTGATACTCGCTCCATGGCTCGCGCCAACAATCATCCCACGTTCAAAGGCTGTTAATTGTATATCTTTTTTTGTACTGTGTCCTCAGATCTACTTATTTTTTCATACTGATCAGATAACAGTTCTTCAGTAGGACCATCTTTTTATAACTTTTATGGGCGGCAGTCTTTCTGATCCAACTCAATTTTTAGTGTAGTAGATTACATAGTCTATACAGCACTGCAACATTTCTGTGTTCATTGATTTAAAAAGAAACTATTGAGTGTGTTAAATTAGCATTATTGTGTGTGTTTATTGCACAGCAATTTTACATTGTTTTTTTAGCTATGCAGCATTATTTTTTTATGATCATATTACATATGCAGAGAGTACTATGAATATGCTAAATGATATACAGCTTCTATAAGAAAATAAATTACAGGACGGTCACATGGAGAATATAGACCACACGAATAAAGGTGTCAGAAGGAAAAACTTCAGCTGTTGCTTAGAGAAGCCACTCCTCATTTCATACTCCTATATAGCCTTATACATTTGAAAGCAGGACAATATTGGTCCCTATGATTTAAAAGCATTCTTCTATTGGATACAATACATGAGGCCATGTTAATTATTACAGTGTGTGTGTAGCCTGTGCTACTAAGCTGTAAGCATAACCTTCCTATGTAATGAGTAAATGTGGATGCCTTCAAATACAAGTATAGACCATGTTAATGATCTAGAAGCCAACCTCTTGTCCAGAAAGAGTGCCTATATTTGGGCATTCTCATTATACAAGGAGCTGGCAGATATGCGGAGTTTGAGGCCAGAGGTCAGAGAAGTGTAGCTGTATCATTCAGATGGACGCACAGATCCATACATGCATGCAGGGGGCCATGTTTTTACATCCAAGGAGGCAAATGTTAAAAACAAGGACAGGCTGAGCCTGCATGAATCTTCATGCACGTCCCAGTGTTTTCATCTGTACAGGAGCAGATGCACTGCTCTGAACGCAGTCTGTCTTGCCCCCTGCATGGATATATGGATCTGTACGCCCTCGTTAATGAGGCCTCAGTAATAACGTGAAACTAGTTTTGTAAAAGTGGGTTTTCCAGTATTTAGGGAGGATGTTTAGTTTCAAATGTTTAAAATGGCTGACAGATCCACTTTAAGAGCGTGTACACACACACTGTCAATATGAACATGTTTTTAAAGCTTCTTTGTTAGCTCTTTTTTTTTTAACTGCTTGGTGGTTTACTAATCTTGATGCAGTATGCAGCAACTATAGTAAGGATACTTGACCTGCATAAGTGTTTTCCGGATACTCTGAAAAGCAGCAAAGCAAGATTAGGCAAAGTGGTCAATTGTACTTGCCCTCCTTTTTTCACCACTTGAGTTAAAAAAACATTTTAACATTTAATTATTTATTTGGTAGGACCTATGTTTATGTCAAACATGTTTAAATTAATTAACTATTGACTGACTCACTATCTCCACTAGAAGTCTGCTACTCTTTCTGTAACTTTCCTTTAGCTTGTTGGTGATCAAGTCCCTGTACTGCCCTCCAGTGGCGGAACTACCGCCGTTGCAGCCGCACCAGGGCCTCAGCCTGGGGGGGCCCAGCACAGTTGCCGGCTGCCAGATAGCACCGGATCAGTATCCAGCGGCCCCCCAGTCTCTGCGCGAACTGACCGTGCGACCGTCACCGCTCCCGTCAGCCCGCCCGCATCAGGCGGCTCTCTAATCGGCCGCCGCTCGCTCCTGAAGGGGGTCCTCTGGAGGGTCCATATGAATAAAAGCAGACCATTGTAGGCAACGACAGCAGTGTATTATTGTATTTTCCCAACCTATAACTGCCACATTTGCTAGACAGCTTGGCCTGTTACAGAAGGTGGAAAAATAAAAGATCTACTGGTAGGATCAACAGGTAACCAAACTTTGTTACAGGGTCACAAACATTTTTTTCTGGAAAGAGAACATCAGTGACTTTCACTGACCTGTACTTTGTGCCCAAGGCAGTGGCTCTTGGTGATGCCATGTCAGTATGCAGCGATGGTACTCAGGGCGAGGATCCAACTTTACATCACATGATAACTGAAAAAGAATATAGGACAGCGTCAACACAAAGATAAATCATTATACACTGTTCATATTGGAAAAGGATCCTCATTAGCTTCCATGTTATGGATTCACAGCCAATTGTCACCTAAATAATGGGATGACACTGTAAAAATAAGTTTCTTGAAGTCCAATAAGGAACCCAGGAAGTCATAATCCTTCAGGTTATACTGCCAGCTACTGTGGCAATGGACACTGACAAACAAAAAACTATAGGTCAGCACTGGGTAAAACCCCTCCTTCTACCAGAATGCCCCATCTTAGTAGCAAAGCAGTGTCAAGACAATGATAATAAAAATGGGGGGTGTCCCTCAAAGGATTCCAGGGAAAATATTTTTGAATACAAAAAATCCTATTTTCCTTCTCATTCACTAAGAATCACAGGAAGTCTTAAAGCCCATTTCCACCTTTGTAAGTGATTTGTATTTATTGTGTTAATGTAAAGGTGCAGGGGCGGGGTGTGTGTGTGTGTGGTGTGTGTGTGGTGTGGTGTGTGTGTGTATAGTCATGAGTCACAGTGCTGTTTTTATACTTTTTCTTAATTGACTCTTTCATAGGTCAGAGTCCTAGAAATTAAAAATTCCCTCCAGAGGAACTTCAATCCAACTCTCTGAGGTTCATGTAATCAGCTGATTTCTCTCTGAGACCCCTCCCCTCTTCTCATGAACGAGCACACACTCTGAATAGGCGATCAGCAGCAGCTGTGACAGAGCAGAGAGGATAGAAAAAAACACATCCCTGTGAGATCTCCTCATAGCTCTGTGTGCTCTGGAGGAACAATTTCTTTCACATGTTGTGAAGGTAAAACTGTCTCCAAACCTTCTCTCTATCACTCTGTTTTGTGGGTCTTTAGCTGGCCATACACCTTACGACCATCGCAAGACTTTCGTCTTGCGGTGGTTGTAAGGTAATTAAAAAAACGTACGATCTGCCCATCTTGGACAGGCAGATCGTACTTGCGATCATCGCAAGCCCACCCCGCTGAGGGGCGGGCTTCCGATGACTGCAATGCTGAACGGGCAGTGTGCAGTGTTTTTTTTCTTCAGTGTTTTTTTTCTTCTTTTTTTTGATTGGACAGCTTGGACCAATGGCAAACCATCCACAGTGCTAAAGCCTCTAACACCAAGTAGAGACTATTGCAGCCTCTGGCTTCACAAAGCAGTGGGGAAGCCCACTGCTGTGCAACCTAACATAGCTGTCAAAAGCCAGATGAAGCGCCGCTTGTAATTACACAGGGGGTTACACAGCGGGTAGGCTTTCCCTGCTGTGTAATCTGTTAGGAGCCGGTCTGAATGGAGAAAAAGCTGTCCGCTTCAGACTTGAAGCGGACAGCTTTTTCTCCCATAATACTAGGTGAGGCTTTACCTCACCTGGCTCCCCTGACCGTACGTCCCTGCTCAATACTAGGAGTGTTGGCGCGTCCTCCACCAAAAAAGTGCAAATGTACATAAATGCATGTGTACTTTACATGCATTTTTGTGCTTTTTTGGTGTGAATGGGCCCTGAATCTTCACAGTATTGTGCGATTAACGCATACTATTGTACAACACACCTAGGGTGTGTTAGCGAGGCAGGTGTGTTGCCATTTATTTGAATGGAATCACAATGCAGCACCTGGCTGCAATGCACTGCCACAACAATTCCATGTAGTGAACAAGGTAGAGCATGCACTGCTTTTTCCCACTGTGCATTATTGTGGTACCACACATTCAACTTCATAGCAACACACTGGGGCTGGGAGGTGCATTAGGGTGCCTTTCAAATTAACTGCAATGCACCTGATGCACTGTAACGCATGGTAGATGGGCTGTGCGATAACCTTGCCTGAAACACACAGTACTGTGCAATTAATAAGATGAATAGGTATGAATGGGCCCTTATTATTATTATTACATAGTATTTATATAGCGCCAACAGTTTGTGCAGCGCTTTACAATATAAGGAAGACATAACAGTTACAATACAATTCAAGACAAGATGGTAAGGAGGGCCCTGCCCCTGAGGGCTTACAATCTAAAAGAGGAGGGGGAAATGATACATGAGGTAGCTGTGGGAATGAATTATGTGAGAATGTGAAGGTTCAGTGGTTAGGTTGAGGTGGGATAGGCTTCCCTGAAGAGATGAGTCTTAAGGGATCGCCTAAAGGCAGTCAGGGTGGGAGATAGACGGACAGGTTGGGGTAAAGAGTTCCAGAGGATGGGAGAGACTCTAGAGAAGTCCTGGAGGCGAGTATGGGAGGAGTGGACAAGGGAGCTGGAAAGCAGGATGTCAATGGATGAGCGGAGGGGACGCTTAGGGTGATACTTTGAGACAAGGTCTGAGATATATCCGGGGGCGGAGTTGTGGATGGCTTTATAGGTGACTGTTAATATTTTGAATTTTATCCTCTGGGCGAGTGGAAGCCAGTGGAGGGATTGGCAGAGGGGTGATGCAGACACTGAGCGGTTGGCAAGGTGAATTATAGAATTATAGAATGAGCCCTTATAGAATTTAACTGGGTCACCACAACAAAAATGGCAAAGCATGGTACCGCAATATCGTGCGTTGTTGTGCAGTGACTTACTAATGACTTACTAACTGCTAAAAACAACGGCCACTACTCCTTACTCTTACTATTAGACCTTTCTGCTGCTTTTAACACTGTTGACCACCTGCTCCTCCTCAAAAAACTCTACTTGCTTGGCCTACAAGACTCTGCTCTCTCATGGTTCTCCTCCTACCTAGCTAAGCGCTCCTTTAGTGTCACCTACAAATCTAACTCCTCCCCTCCTCTTCTTCTTTCTGTAGGGGTGCCCCAAGGCTCTGTCCTTGGACCCCTTCTTTTTTCTATCTACACCACCTCTCTAGGCCAGTTAATAACCTCACACGGCTTCCAATACCATCTCTATGCCGATGACACTCAAATATATCTTTCTACTCCACAACTCACCCCCACAGTGTCCTTCCGTGTCACTGATCTACTAGCTGACATATCTGTCTGGATGTCACAACACTTCTTAAAACTCAATCTTTCAAAAACTGAGCTCATGGTATTTCCTCCTGCCCCTGCACCTTCCCCTAACTTTGCCCTTGAGATTTATAACACAACTATCCATCCCTCCCCCATGGCAAGGTGCTAGGTGTCATCCTGGACTCATACCTCACCTTTCTGCCCCACATCCAATCCCTATCCAAATCCTGCCACCTTCCTCACCAATGAAACCACTAAGCTACTCATCCACTCCCTTGTTATCTCTCATCTTAACTATTGCACCTCCCTCCTCATTGGCCTTCCTCTACACAGGCTA